TGTCTATATTCATATAACTGAAGCGAAACAACAACTGTTACACTAGGATTTTCTATAGGATATTCAGACACCATGTTTTTTTGTTTCATTAAATAATGCACGGGTGTTAAGTGTTTTGAAAAAGGTTTCTGAAAACAAGCAGCAAAATAGCTCATAAGTTGTACTTTTCTTTGATACATATATCTTATGAGAAAAATAAAGAAGTGCTCGCTGCTGACAAATTATGATTTTCAAGGATTATTTTTTGCCTCGAAAAAATAATGGAAATCAGTAGACTAACTGTTAGTTAACTCAAGATTTTTGTTAGAATTCATACAAAAACTAAGATAAAACAGAGGTCAGTTTTATGCTACTCCAGAAAATGCATATACAGAAGAGTGTTTTCTACCCAAAATTCTATTCAGTTCTATACTCAGCATAAGGCGAAAAAGCCTTCGAAGTTTTGATAGTAGCTTCATTACAACTTCGTACAGCTATAATTTCTACCTTTTTGATATTTTTGGCTTAACTTCGTCGCATAAAAACTTTTTACTATTACATCATTGCAATTTGTTACACTTCATCTTCAGGAATTCTCCCCAACAAATGAATATTATTTCAACTATAGTTAAACTCTTGTCTTGATTATCCATTCATATAATTGTGTCATGTTCTAATACAATTTCTTGCCTAAAATCACGCTACAAGCTATCAGATAAGAAGTGAAATCTATGGATTGTTCCAGATGAATTTCATCATTACGAAATGAGTGGATTAAAATATTCAGAAATTGAAGTATTTTACAGTTCGAATTCGATTCTAAACAGTCTTGATGAACCAAGTTGTCTGTACTTGATACGAATCTCTGATTGAAAAATGCTACGTTTGTCAGACATTATCATATGATCTAATCTCAACTTTTAAATATGATAACGAAACACACTCAACATTACTTGAAACTACTTAGTTCTTTACTAGCTGTTACCCTACCTCCATGAAACATTATTTAAATTTGTAGCATAGGCTCATAAATAATTCTACCACGGTAACGTCATATCAGATTTGCTAGACACAAATAATTGCCCCCAGTGTGCTCTTAAATTCGATTGTTGTTGATCGAAAATTTGATGTGAGACTTTGTGAAAAAGTGAAGATCGATGTTAGAGGAATCGCATGGATAGATAACTTACTTTGTTTATTCGTAGAGCGTCAGCCATATGTTCCGCACCCTTGTCACCAATTTGATTACCAGGCAAAACCAACGTGGTGACTGTCTATATTGAAAAGTAAATACGATTATGGACATTGCATAAGAATGCAGTCTAACATCTTTCACTATGTGACAACGCACAATTGATGGGATCAATGAGATTATTTACTTGATGATTATAAATGAACACCAGTGTTGGGTATATATTGGAAAATGGTGCGAGTCCATAAAACCGTCAGCTAGTATGTTCTTTAGGACTAACTAGTAGAATATTCAATGGTTGCATGTGGCTTCAAAGGTTATATTTCAGTGATGACAACACAAAATATAATTGTTATTAATATTTCACTGTGCAGTTCAATTGGGGGAGTTGACTGCATTTCATGAAATTCTTTGCACATTGATGCGATCATGTCGAAAAAAGAGACAATATGCTTGCAACTTTGATACAACTGACCGTTGATTAAATTGACGCTCAAACATCTGATCTCGTTACTAAGATTCAGAGAATTTTCAGCTACAAACAATTGATAAAGTTACGACTTTGTTATCTCTTGACACTTGGTTTAAATTGGACGATCGTCACTATACTATGGGAATCGAATAACACTTTGCTTACTAGAAACTCATGCACTGTATGTACAAGTTTGATGTCATATATGCTTTATTTGCAGTTTTCTTGTTAATATTACACTAGATTTGCATTATCATCGAGACCCCGGCTCTTTATATTTTGAAATAGAAAAGGAAATTTTTCTTGAAAACGTTTCTAGATCATTCAGAGCAGACAGAATCTTAGAAAAAGATCATATAGTTGACCAGAAACTCCTTATGCATGTCTGATAGACAAAACTATTGCAGATCCAAAAGATATCTGTCATAGAATTTTACGAATGAGTGCTCTCATAGCGTATCAACCCTAGAAAAGATGAAAATCTCCGAATTCTTAATTTCATATCTTCTTTTTTACAACTTACTATGCTGGTCACCATTGTAAAACCGCTTTCCAGATTTGACCCATACATGAGTAAATTGAAATCAAAATACTAAGAGCCCTAAATATGTCTTATAGGATTTTTCACATTTGTTTTGAAGAGGCCTTTCTATTTAGTACTCTATACTATTCAGAGTGTATTAGGTTTTTATCAGTTCTCATGATAGACTCTGAAGCCTTGGCATCCATAAAGAACATAGGTATGTGAATTGAATATCTACAATTTTAGAAGCCACATAAGTGTATAAATTACTAATGTTCATTTTTAACTGAACATAACTTTTTCAAGGATACGGCATTTAGTAACATTTTCAATAGAACTATCCTACAAGGTTCCAATAACATGCTCCATATTCCACAACTAGTGTGATATAGCGCTGTATTCTCTAAAAGAACAAGAACATATGATAAACCATTAATATTGTTCTCTGAAATATCTTGTATTTATGTCATAAAAAGAGTCTAAATAATAAAAAGAAACAATACACGCTTACTTTATTAGTTTCCAATTCCG